TGGGGGTCGAAAAATTACGTTTTTTAAGCAAAAAGCTCCGTCTTCCCTGAACTCCTCTTACATTTTACTCAGTAGCCTAACCAGCTTTTGGGAGATGGTTGGTGGGGTCATGTAGATGTGCAGTAAGGTTTTGGAAATTCAATTTTGCCCCAGGGGGTCAAATGGGGGTCGAAAAATGACGTTTTTTGTCCAAAAAGCCCCGTCTTCCCTGAACTCCTTCTACATTTTACTCAGTAGCCTAACCAGCTTTTGGGAGATGGTTGGTGGGGTCATGTAGATGTGCAGTAAGCTTTCGGAATTTTGATTTTGCCCAAGGGGGTCAAATGGGGGTCGAAAAATGATGTTTTTTAAGCAAAAAGCTCCGTCTTCCCTGAACTCCTCTTACATTTTACTCAGTAGCCTAACCAGCTTTTGGGAGATGGTTGGTGGGGTCATGTAGATGTGCAGTAAGGTTTTGGAATTTCAATTTTGCCCCAGGGGGTCAAATGGGGGTCGAAAAATGACGTTTTTTGTCCAAAAAGCCCAGTCTTCCCTGAACTCCTCTTACATTTTACTCAGCAGCCTAATCATCTTTTGGAAGATGGTTGGTGGGGTCATGTAGATGTGCAGTAAGGTTTTGGAATTTTGATTTTGCCCCGGAGGATCAAATGGGGGTCGAAAAATGACGTTTTTTATGCAAAAATCTCCATCTTCCCTGAACTCCTCTTACATTTTATTCAGCAGCCTAATCATCTTTTGGGAGATGGTTGGTGGGGTCATGCAGATGTGCAGTTAGGTTTCAGAGTTTTGATTTTGCCCCGGGGGGTCAAATAAGGGTCGAAAAATGATGTTTTTAATGGAAAAAGCCCCATCTTCCCTGAACTCCTCTTACATTTTATTCAGCATCGTAATCATCTTTGGGAGATGGTTGGTTGGGTCATGTAGATGTGCAGTTAGGTTTCGGAATTTTGATTTTGCCCGGGGGGTCAAATGAGGGTTGAAAAATGACGTTTTTTATGGAAAAAGCCCAGTCTTCCCTAAACTTCTTTTTTGTTTTAAACAGTGGTCTTATCATCTTTTGGGAGAGTTCACTCTTTTGAAATTTTGTTAAAACATCAAGGGCAAGGGGTAAAAAATCATAGCATGTTGGGAGCCTCTTGTTATGGGTAATGTTCACTTGAAATGTGAAAGTCAAATCTCTTCTCAATGAAAAGGAAATACAACATTAATGAAAACTAAGTTAAACTTCAAGGTCAAGGTCACAGAATCAAAAAGTCATGATACATTTTGGAAGGTCTTATCACAGGTAATATGAATGCCCTTTCATTTATCTTTCAAAATGATCAATTCAAAGCAATTAATTTTTTTAAGGAAATTAGGTCAAACTTCAAGATCATGGGTAATGAAAATCATAGTGTATGTAGAATGGTATTGTCCCATTTAATACTAATACACATGTTTAATATAAAAGTCCTATCTCTTCTCATTCAAAATATACGACCATGATGACCAAGGTTAAATTTATTGTGACAGATGGGCAGATTGACAAACAAATGAGATTTAATGTACCCTACCTTTAGCAAAAATGGGGACAATAAATGTCTTTGCTGTTCTTGAGAAGAAGATTTATGTTGGAACAAGATGTGTTTGTGAAACACTACGCGCCCGGCGGCAACAAAGTTAAAAAAATCTTCTTTTAGCATATTGATCACAGTCAAGGTCACAAGGTCATTGACCATGGTGTCATTCGAAAGAACTTAATCAGTGGAGTATGCGTTCTAAATATGAAGTCCCTATCTCCTATGGTTCAAAAGTTGTGGCAAAAAGTGTAAAGAGCTATTTTTAGCATACCCGTTACAGTCAAGGTCACAAGATCATTGCATGACCTTGCCGTCGTTTGAAAGGACTTTATCAGTGGAGTATGCATACCAAATATGAAGTCCCTATCTCCTATGGTTCAAAAGTTATGACAAACAGTGGAAAAAGCTATTTTTAGAATATAGGTCACAGTCAAGGTCACAAGGTCATTGACCATGGTGTCATTTGAAAGAACTTAATCGGTGGAGTATGCATACCAAATATGAAGTCCTTATCTCTGATGGTTCAAAAGTTATGGCAAAAAGTGTAAAAAGCTATTTTTAGCATATAGGTCACAGTCAAGGTCACAAGATCATTGACCTTGATGTCATTTGAAAGGACTCTATTAGTGGAGTATGCATACCAAATATGAAGTCCCTATCTCCTATGGTTCAAAAGTTATGACAAACAGTGGAAAAAGCTATTTTTAGCATATAAGTCTTAGTCAAGGTCACAAGGTCATTGACCTTGAAGTCATTTGAAAGGACTTTATTAGTGGAGTATGCTTACCAAATATGAAGTCTCTATCCCTTATTGTTCAAAAGTAATGGCCAAGGTTAAGTTGACAAACAGACAAACAGATAAACAGACAAACAGACAAACAGACAGGACAAAAACAATATATGCCCGGGATCTATCGATCCGGGCGCTTAAAAAGTACCCTGCATATTTAAATGTAAATTGGTTGAAATTAGCCCAGTGGTTCTTAAGAAGTTAATGTGAAAAGTTTGCAGATAAACAGATGGACAACAGAAATCAGTACATTTCAGAAAACAGTATGCTTATAAATAGTTAATCAAGGTGCTTTGGGTAGCAAAATAAAGCTAAACTGGTATATCTAATTCATCCGCAGAGCTTAGTATATTTCAATATGTACAACCTTTTCAACTCTTATAATTATTTTTTAAAATTTATATCACCATGTCTCATTCAAGGGAGAACTAGAGATATGACCAGATGTATATCTGTTGAATATAAAATATGTACATGTATTCTGTGTTTTTTTTTTTAGTAATTTGTTTGTTTGTTGTGACAGCAACTGTTATGGCAGCTTTTGGCAAAGGTTGAAGTTTCTCAAATGTAAATCAAACTCCAAGGTCAAGGTCAAAGGGTCTAAATTGTTGGTATCAAAGGGAAAGTCTTGTCACAAGGAATACACATGTGAAAAAAGGGAGAAATCCCTAGAACTTCCTCACCTGTTCAAAAGTTATTGCCAAGGTTAAAGTTAAATTGGATTCAACTCTAAGGTCTAGGTCAAAAATAATCATACCTGTTGAAAGTTCACAATGATTACACATGTAAGAGCATGAAAGTCCTAGCACCACCTGTTCAAAACTTACGCCAAGTTCAAGGTATTTTTCTTGTAAAATTGGGTCAAACTCCAAGGTCAAGAGATCAAGAGGTCAAAATTGGTGGTACCCATTAAAAGGTTTTGCCAAAAGAAATTTACCTATGAAATATTGAAGCCATGTGTATAGCCCAATCCACTTAAAAAATATGGGCAAGGTTAAAGTTTCCGTGGACATACAAAAATACATAAACATAGGAAACAAAACATGTATAAATAGTCAAATGAAAAAATTTTCTACTATTATGGAGTCATAAGATCAATTGTCATTTCAGGTACAGGGAGTCAGTGGCTAGGGAGATCAGACCCCCCCCCCTGGAATTAGCAGTTATTTAAATAAGACTATATATGTACTGTAGAGAATAAAAATGACTTTGGACATCCTCCCCCTTAGAAAACAGGGACTCCACCATCATTGTTTTTATTATTATTTTTTATTTCCATCTCAGGAAATCTTGGGCTGATTTTTTTGACTGAGGTGTGACACCCCCCCCCCCTCCTTTCTGAAAAAAAAAAAAATCTGGATCTGCGTCTGTTATATACTGAATGTCCGCAACGGGAGATAACTTGACAATGTGAAATTTGTCGACTGTGGCATGCATGATCTTTGACCATGTTGACCCTTTTTGAACTTCAACCTAACCATTTGCATTTATTTATTTTTATGCAATCTATACTAAATCTTGTACTTACCGAATGTCATAGGTCGTGACAACGAATTCATGAAATATAATCCATATAATCCAATTAAAACACAAATGATTTTAACTGACCACACTGCATCGTCAGCATGTACATGTGCTAAATAATCTCATTCGACAAACCTTTGCTGATTCCGTTGCCAGTATGAATTGGCCGAGGTGTGCCGAGAGGTGATATCTATAAATATGATAATGGGTGACGCAAACCAAATGTGAATGTAGAAAATAAAACTGTTTAGTACAAGAACAAATTTCAAACTATCATAATAAACTAAACTATGTTTTTTAAAAAAAGTGAGAGTGAGAGAGAGAGAGAGTGTGTGTGTGTGTGTGTGGGGGGGGGGGGGTGGAGAGATAGGCATTGACAAATTAATCGGGTTGTATTTTCAATGGGTTTTTTTCCCGACCAAATACTAAAATCAGTTTGCACATTTTGATAAATTCATCAAAAACGCTTTGTACTAAAATAATATTTTATGTCGTTGAGAAAGTAAATTTAAAAAGTTCCAAATTATGGGAAAATTATTTATTTGAATCTAATTAAGTAATTTACTTCAATCATTAATTAAATTCTGTTATTTCAGACTGGTTATGAATTAAGTATTTTAAAATACATATGTGAGGCTCAGAGTTGATATGGTCATCTGAAAAAATTATGTTCAATTTGACGAATACATGTACGGTGATAATTATAGAATTATTTTGACTTCTTCCTTGGAAAGTCCAATATGAATGAGTGTTTATTTAGAGGCAAACACTATAGTGCGGGTATTACTGTCTCATGACAGCATCTAGTTGTTTTTGTTTCTCTTTTTCCTTTGCTCTTATGACTTTTAAACTTTTTTTCTTTGTCCTGAGGAAGGGACAGGGCGTCCCGAAAATTTGACAATTTTTATTGTTCGTGTCGTTGGTCATTTTTAGTGCTTTATATAAGTTTCCATCCGTGACCTTGTATCTAATTGGTAGATCCGGCATTTAGGATATACAGTGTTGTTGGTTTTTTAGTGCTATATATATATATATATATATATATATATATATATATATATATATATATATATATATATATATATATATATATATATATATATATATATATATATATATACTTGTAGAATTGAATTTTGATAATGTATGTTTTTCCTGGAATCAAACATGCAAAGACTTAACAAGAGAGTGTAGTATTCTACGCAATCAAAACGTTGGGATATGTGTTTGCAAATTAGAATATCTAGGATTTGGAGCAATCTGCTTAGAAGGTGTGTAACTCTTCCAATAATATTTTATTGTTTTTTTCCAAATGTAATATGTTATTTCTATAATTAATAGCGATTAAGGAATACATGAATAAAAGGGTGTTTTATGAATACAATCAGGAAACCTTAAAATTAACCAGTCCTGTGAGCGAAATGAACAGTGCACTGCTACACAAGACTTGGAATGTCAGAATGGAACATGTATGTGTCGAGATTGGCACGTACCTGTTAATGAGACTTACTGTATACCAGGTAATTATAGCATATTCATAAAAAATATTAATATTAGATCTTTCTTTGATAATTCGTTTGTAAAAGACTTTGATGTATGCTCCATAACTGAGTTTTTTTATTCACATAAACTATCCAATATAAAATTATATATTTATTATAATTTTGTATCGTTATTTCAGTTAAAATAAATGGAAAGGAGGCAGGCAAAATGTTTTTAAATCGAGAACAAGGTTAATACTTTTACTTCATTTCATGAATATTTAAACATTATCATAATTTGAATACACATTGTATCTATGGTAAATACAACACTTTATCGTTGTATCCTTACACGGGAATTTGTTTATGTAGGATGTAATTATAAGAATGCTTTACTGTAAAGAAGAAGGTATGGTTTCCATACAAATTTTGCCCTGTGATTTTTCTAAAAAATGAAACTGGTGTAAAAGTTGAAAACTCATGTTTTTTAAATAATTGAAATTCAATGCAGAAAAATCATTCAATTCATTTTTCTCACATGTGTTTTTAAATGCTAATGATGACGTCATAAACATGTGCATTATCCCGTGTTTTCTTATAAAGTTGCAGAAGACACCAAATTTCAATGGAATTTTCTTTCAGATAACATTGTCCATTTATTTAACTTATATTTAAGCCGGTTTCAAAACTTTTTGATGTCATTACATTTTAAGGGCGAAAGAAAGCTAAAGCAATACCTTCTTTTTATTATTTGAACGGTAATTAGATTTTCTATTATGTTTGTTTTGATATTTAGCCCTTAAAATATTAAAATAATACTCACACAAATTGACCGTTGGATGTCTATCAATAGCATTAAAATTGATGGTATAATAATTTGATATTCGTGTAGCAAGGGGAGAGAATAAGATCTAGATTAAATAAAAAAAAAACGTAAACCAACTTTTATTCACGTGCGAAATTCCTTTGTTTATGACTTCTTCACATTTTTTCTTCCTCCCGAGGAAGGGATAGGCTTCCCGAAAATTTGACAGTTTATATTTTCGAATTTATAGCAAATGGATTAGGAGCTACAATAGGATCTGTTTTCGGGGGCTTCTTTCTAGGAGTAGTTTTTAGTGCTCTTATTGCATACTTAATATCCAGAAGATATAAGACCAGCATGCCAAAACGGTAAGACTGTTTTTTTTTTTACATTAAGTTACATTAATCATTAATATCGGTTATTTTATTTACGTTAATGCAGACAACAACAAAAAATCTTTTATTTATGCAGATTGTACATAAATGATTGTGGAGTTTTCATTCAATTTAAAATAATATAATATTCATTGTTGCCTCTGAATATTCCTCGGAAAATGCATTTATGATTGTTTCATTTCACTGATAATTTTTATAATCAAGAAATAACATGGCAGATAATTCTTTGAATAATGGAATTTTATATAAATGGAATAGTTTCCTTGAATATTAATAATCAATATAGGTTTGAGCCAACTTTTCTAGGTTCTAATTTCCTCTGTCAATTTTCTAGTTCTTACCCATTTTAAATCTAGTTTTATTTAAAACGGAATTATATGAACATTAAATCATTTATAGCCTCATTTTACTTTTGTTGTGCTAATTCTGTCAGAATTAATATTTTAATAGACAGGAGATCAGTTTTAAGATAGGTTGTCCGAAATTGATTTTGTTCATATTATCAAAATTCTTTATTACATGAACATATTAAATCAAATTAATTGAAATCATACATAATCTAAAAAAATACAAATTTGCAATGTGTTGTTAAAATAAAGCCACATCGAATCATAACGTTATAAAACAATATTGCAATAAAACGTTTTCATGAAAAAATTTTTTTTTAAGAATTTCCCCTTCTTCACACTAAATTATATCTGTTCTTCCATGTTTAAGTAACTTCAAGTAGGAAAACATCAAATAAAAAAAATGAGTTTTAACAAGAACATTTCTGGCATTTAGACGATTTTTTATGCAAGGATTTGTACTTACTTTTAACCAGGGAAACTTTATGCTTAGTACTAGAAAAGGGAGAAATGGCGTTGTGTATTTATGAAAATGTTAAAACTTTCATCAAATTAATGCAGATATGAAATGTCACACATCAACGAACTTCACAAGCAACTCTATTCTGTTCGTTTTGTTAGGCAATACCGTATAAGTTGAAATTTTAGCGAAACGCAAATTTAGCGATTTCTACCTAAATATGGTATTTTATTTTTAGCGAGAAGTAAATTTAGCGATTTTAAAATGCTATCTAAAGAAACTATTGCAAATGATACGCAATTAATTTTAAGCGATATTCAGTTTTATCGATCTCCTCGCTAATAATGCCAAAATTAAATCCTCGCTAAAAATTCTACTTATACGGTATCTGCTGTAATACTCGTCCTCAAATTTACATTAAGAGTTTACATTTATTTAAATCATATGTCGAAAACAGTGTTACAATTTTTTGATTCTGTAAATTTTACCTTTTTAAAGTTTTTTCTTCTGTTATATCGAACAGTGACGAGACAAGTATAAAATTTGACAGACATAGTGCCCACATTGCACCGATGTCTGAAAGCAACCGGACTCAATCAGCAAAAAATACGGAACAGACTTATAAGGTATTTATATATAAATATTGATTTTCATATTGTAATTTTTATGAAAAATTCTGTCATTTCAGTATTACTTGCAAAGGGAAAGCTTGGGTACATGGAAATCGTATGTTTGTTTTTAAAATGTGATATATATCGTATGATATGAAATGCATTTTGATTATTCTAATATAATTGCAGTTTGTTATCACTACAAATAAAGCCGTTGAAGACGTCATTTATTCAAAATATTAAATTAAATTGTCAATGGAAGATAAGAAAACCAGATTCATTCTTTTTTATTCATGACCTTTAAATGGTCTGAATTTTATTTTAAAATTTATACTTTTTAGTAGCATGCTACTTCCCATGAGCTATCAAAGACGATGTCCTGAAAACGTTTGTGTGTTAAGTTACAGTAACAATTTCAAGAACATCTGTTCAAAAAAACTACAAAAGATAAAAAATAAAATATATATATTGAAAGTATCGACTTGCCAAATTGTGTTTTAAGAAATGTCTAGGTTTGCTGAATTATTGCTGTTGTTTGAGTTGTTAAAAAAATCTTGTACAATTTAATTGAAATAACGTTTGAAAATTTGATTAATTTGCTTTCGTCTCTACAATTCATCAATAGTCATCTGGTTGCTTCATAGAAGTATTGTTCTTTCAACGTCTCAAGATAAGGCATTCACATTTGAATTATTTTTAACTGTCTACGTGATATCTATCTGCTAAAGGAAATCTGAAAGATTACAGAATCATTTGAAAAGTAAAATACTGACACTTTTTGCAAATTGATAAATGCACGTGTACTAGTGTATGCTAAAAGATCATTTATTTGGTAGCGAAAGATCGTTAATGTTCCACCCTACTCACCTTCAATGGAATCCCCAACGTACAGTAACGTTAAAGAGGCTAAAACATCACAGATGAAAGAAGATGATGTCTACAACCATCTTCACGAAAAAGAGGATGAGGAAACGGAGAACGTATACAACCAAGCTTCCTGTTCCTCTGGTCAGACTACGGAAGACGATTACGGCCATTTAAATGCAGGACGAAGTAATGAAGGAGTTGTCTTACCTGAAGACGATGTGTATGCTCACACGGAAGCAGCGAATAACGACAACTATTTTGTCCTTGAAAATCAAAGTCAAATCTGAAGAGAAGATTTGCATTTTTTTTATTGCTTTGTGAATTAAAATTTTTCTTTTAACTTTGTAATGATTTTAAGATGATTTCATGAGATGTTTTGAGCTACCTTAAAGAAATGTTTATTACAATGTTTACAGTTTATGAAGATCTTTTTTATTATTGAATATTCATTTCGTTTATTCAGACTGAGTTTATTTTTTTAAGAAAAATATAGTTTTAAGGACAGATGATAAAACAAACTTATGTCAAAATATTTTAAAATAACCTTGAAAATAACACCTTTAATCATGTTTAAATTAGTAAAATGATTAAGTTTCACCACGTAGTTTTTAATCTTTTATTCAAAATTTCACAAAAATGGAATTTAAATTAGAAATATTTGTATAGATAAATAAGGATGTTTCAGAAGGAAAGACTTTTGAACATCACAGAAGGTTTACAATTTCTTTACTTTCTAAAATTAAGCCAAAACATATATACCTATCCAGGCATCTATTTTTTTGTATCATCTGTTCTTTATATTTGTATTGTTTTAAGACCTCTTTTTTTATTTATTGATTTTATTGAATTGTTTTATTATTTTCATTAGTTTTTCCGATATACTTATACTTCATTCCTCATTTAATTTCTTTCAATACAATGCCATACTGTCAAATCTCTTCTTGAAAAGGTTTTATAGATACCCTTAAAAGGAAAACAGTTAAGAAAGCTTCAAGTCAACACTACTTTATTGAAATTCTTATTATTATTTTTTAGTAAAGGTGAATTTTGATGGTTCGTGGCTTTAGCTCTTTCTGTTCACATTGAACATCAATTTTTTCAATTGTATGTGTGTATATGTATATAGAAGCAGTTTCAATTTATACGAAATTAGGTATTTAAAAATATTTTCAGGCTTTCGTATCACTGCGTACCATTTTGATTTCCGTTATAAAAATACAGAAACACACACACACACTCACACCCATCCTCACCCACTCTAAATCAGTAGTACGAAATAGAACCGAACAAAGTCATGTTAATTGCTGAAGATTTTGTGAAATGAACACGAAGTAAAACCATTGTTTACGAAATTTCTGTATGTATACACATGTATGTTTATAAAAAAATTTTAAAAAAAAGTCATCTTGCCTTTTTTATCTTTAACACACCATTGTCTTCAAAATGTTTATACATCCGGCTTGAAAAGTGGGAGGGTACATAGAGTAATCGAGGTGTCTGTCCGTCCTTCTGTCTGTACGTTCGTCTATTCGGCAACTCCTGCACCACTGAATGAAATTTAATGAATTATTCACAGAATGTTTGCTACAAAGTGCAATTGTGCACCTCCTTTATGGATCGGACATATATTTTGGGTTACCCAAAGCAAAACATTGACCTGCCATTCTTTCTATAGTATTGAAGGGGACCAATCTCTTATCTGGAACTCTGGAATACCACTGAATGAAATTCAATGATACTTTCACGAAATTTTATTATATAATGTTATTGTGCACCTCCTAATTTACTGTTTGATACAACACTTATTTAAGATTATCCAGAGCAAAACATGGACTTTGCCATTAAAAAGTATGGGAGGCGGTGTATCATTTACTGAACTCAGTGCCCACAGTAGATCTTTTTTTTTATTTTAATACTAAATGTTAATAATATGCATTAGCACAATTTTAGTATGTCATTATTACATGCATGTTAGTAATGTATTTTGCTAGTTATGTTCCCCAAACGAAGTTGGGGAACATATTGTTTTTACTCTGTTTCTTATTATTATTGTCCGGGAGTGATCTTGTAAACTACACATCCGACTTAGGTAAAACCTTTTTAGGGTCAGTAGGCATGTTATGTAGAATTGCGGAACGAAGGTCATTTTGAGCGCACGTGCTTGCAAGAGCTGGCACGTGCAACGCGTGAAATGACCAATATAATAGATATAGCCGTAACTTTTCTATTTTTGGATGAAATGCTTTGAAACTCATAATGTGATGATATATTAGTTGCATAGACAATATGACATGGTCAAAATAGCAAGATCTCACGCGCATGCACGTGCGCCTCGCTCTGATTGGCTGAAACTAAAGTCTCAATATCTTTCTTGTTTTTTGACGAAATCCTTTGAAATTTTGAACATAGCCATGCATTAGGATAAACTACAATATAATATATAGCAATTATCATGAAAAAACGTGCATGCACGTGCGCTGCAATCTGATTGGCTTAAACTTTAAATGGCTATAACTCCCTTGGTTTTCAACCAAACAGGATGGGATTTGGAACAAAGATAGATATAATGGACTTCTACAAGAAGGTATGGTTAGCATGCACATGCATACACGTGCGTGTACGTGCGCTGCAATCTGATTGGCTGAAATTTTAAACAGCTATAACTCTCTTGGTTTTCAACCCAACGGGGCAGGATTTAGAACATAGCTAGATGTAATGGACTTCTACAAGAAGGTATGGTCACCATGTGTGTTTTGCACTACAGTGTATTAAATGTATATGTCATTTAATTTTTTTTACATAAAGAGCAAGGTTTCTAACAATAATAAAGACTTGATTTTATAAAGTATGTGAAGATAACGAATAGTATTCGAGCTCTAAAGTCCAATAAACATTACATACATATAATAGGGGTGTACTGTAGCAAACAAGGACCACCAAAACATCAGAGGTAGGATCAGGTGCCATTGAGAAGCAGGGATCCCTACCAGTCACAATTAAAACTCATTAGAGATTGTATTTTAGTACGCATACGGTTTGATATTCTTTATACAATCCTATTGGTGTAACTTATTATGCATTGTCTTTACAAATGCATCTTTACTTTTTTTTTCTTATTTGCCAAATTTTACACAATGTTTTCTTTACAAAGGAAAAATGCTTCAAAATCATATTACAGTTTCAAATACTTAACAATCACAATAATCAGTTCTTTTAGAATTACATACATCTTCTGGATTTCTAAACAACTACTTAAAAAGAAAACAAATGAAATTTGAAAATTTACTTATCTTTTAATTAATTGTGGTCATTTGCAACATTTATTTTGAAAAAAAAAACCAAAAATTCTCATTGTAAATCCAAGCATGCTGAAGGTGATATTAAAAAGGCACAGATACTAGAGTACTCGTATCTGATTTACAGTCTATGTACTTTTTGTTGACCAGGCCCTGGGATCAGGAAACAGATTTAAAATCAAGTCGGATTTTCAATCAGCTGTCAAATGCTTCTTAAGTATTTAACCAGTTTCTAAATTTGCAGTTAACCACACGTTTGCAATATTAAATATATTTTAATTTGTGTCTGTTTGACTTCGACAACATTTTAATTCAACATAAATACATGTATTGTGACCTATCCTTAAGATGAAGCATGATCCCGACACACGTTGATTCAGTTGTAAAGACTATGTTAACGTCAACATCAAAATTAAATCTAAGCACTGATCTTTCAACACACTGCTTAATGTACTTTAATGAATTTTTGTATAATAACAAAGCACAGTATATTCATTTTCATTTTTTTTAATGTCCAGGTTGAGCAACCTCTTATGAAGCAAGCTTCATATCTGAATGTAACAGAGAAAAATCTCGTTAATTCTTGGATGTGATTAACATGAATAGATCCATTTTAAATATTATATGCATTAATGCCATCGAAAGTACTCTTATATATGAATTGGCTGGATTAGGACCTTACTTAACTCCAACGAATCTCAGCAAGACAACTGCATGAGGTAGATGGGGTTGACGTTAAGAAACAACGACAATCAAAATGTCAAATGTCATAAAACTATTCGATATTAGCACTAGTAGATCATATAATTTTTTTTAAAATCATTGTGCACAACCTCAACGTATCAAGTTGTTACTAGAATTCAGCATTTCTGAAAATTTGTATGATCTACATAAATCTAAGAAAAGACGACACATTATTTTTGTTATCACATCTGTCAACGAATTTTTGGTAACCCCTGGTATTCATTTAACAACTACATTTTATGATAAACGTACTCTTTCTTCGTCAACTTTCCTTACTTTTGTAGCAATACACCCTTATCACCTGCATTTTGTGGTGTCAAGTCTCTTTTTGACTGAATACATATTAAGATAAATTGCTCTACATACGAAACGTTTTGAAAAAGAGACAAAATATTGACAACTGATGAAACAAAAATACCAAAAGTCTAGTTAGAAGTCTTTGTTCTACATATGTGTACATATTTGCTGACATTGTCAGCAAATGGTCATAGGAATTGTTAAACCATATTGTCATCGGATTTCTCTGTGTTAAATGAAAAGGTGCATAGGGAGGGTTTGACAGGTCATCACGGAATATTTAATTCTCTATGGAACAAGAAATCATATTTGCTTTTTTTTGAGAAATCAGCCTGTGCTCTCCAAATAATCTTTCTATAATATTTATTGTCTAAATGGACATTGACCTTGATCACCGATCTATACTTTAAGAATAACTGCCAAAACATATACAATGTATGACAGTGTACATGTAATAGCTGAGCAATAAGAAAAAATAACGAAACTTAAATACACAATTAACACTTTTTTTATACTACACGTCTTTTCATATCGTTTTTATCTGTAAAAGATTTACTTTAAAGCAATAATGCATTTTTTTTAAACTTTACCTAGCAACTCATTAAAATGAGGAAGTAATGCGATATGTATTTATGATAAGACTGCATTTAGTACCAGTCTGTATCTTCCTTTTCATAATGGAAAAGTTATTTTTATGTTTTATCAAACATTTTCAATTGCAAGGCGGAAGATAAAGTTTATTCAAGGGCAAAAGCGTAAATGATATAAACTTAAAATACGGGAATATATATTTTGTTTTTGATAAATATTTGACTGATATTAATAATACATTGAGTATATTGCTCTTTAAAAAAATGATCATTAACTGTTGTGTAGTTCTTTTTACATGAATTTATCTTGTGATCTTTCATAGAAATGTGTTCTTCTAATGCATAGTTTACGTATATATCTTTACTTTTTCTGAAATGAATTTATTATTTATGTTCCCCA